TACCCCATCCAAAACCATTGAAAAATCGTTACCTATGAATGTTTATAATTTTTGTTATATAGAGGTCTAATGCCCATTGTGTAACTTACAGATGTTGAGCACATCAATTATGAGAAAGAAAAGCAGAGTATATTGACAAAAATCATAAAACGCCCTCAATTAATGTAGACAAACAAAATGGTTTAAAAGTAGATTTTAACATAGAGAAACTGTTTCTATCAGATTTTTGCCACTTCAAGTTAATGTTCGCACACACAACTTCTTGTTAGTCACAGCTGACGTTTTGCACATTGGTAGGTCAAGGTCAAGGTCATTTGGAGTTTGTTGAATATTCCAGTCAGCGTCTGTTGTAACGCAAGGTCAAAGCAAAAGTCATTCGAATCCCTTTAAATACCCATTACAAAGATTTAGACGTGTGCAAGACTTCTAAGTTAGCGTGCTAGAAGTCTCGTTGTAGCGAGAGGTCATGCACAAGGTCACACACAGCCCTTAAAATAATCACAGCAAACCTCTTAAAGTGTTCATGATTTGTTAGATAAACATTTCCACATCCTACTAGTGCTTTGATTATAGTAGGTTGATTTTTTTCGATGCATTTGGTTATATTGTTGCAAGTAAACTGTATAAACAAGAGAAAGCAATTTTTAGAAAATCGCAAATGGTCTGAAATTCTTATTTCAGCTGTTTCGTGCAACCCTGAGTTTTGGAGGTGACTGTAAACGGCAACAGCATGCTGCTGATAGTATAGGAGTTAGTTGCCAGTAATCTCTGAAACTCGGACAGTTTTTGAGCCAGCCGCAGCGCCAAGCCTCTTACTGAAAAATATTTAACACCAAGTTACCTGATTAGGGCCTATATAAATTTGATTGATTTAGAAAAAAGCGCCCATGGTTTTGTCGAACGCTGTGGTCTTTTAGAGTTGTTCTGGGAGCGGTCCCTCCCACTTCACGTGTCCATATTGCAAGATGAGGTTAGTGCCTTGCTCAGATTGGTAGGCCTATATAATCTCAGCGACATCCTAGCTACGTCTTCGACAATGTAGATACCAGTGACAGGTGTGTGTGTGTGTGTGTGTGTGTGTGTGCACTTGCATGCTTGCGAAAGTGCATGCTTGTGTGTGTCTTAGTATTTTTTTTTCACAATTTTGGGTTTTTGGATAAAAAACTTGCGGTACCCTCTATTCCAGGGTCACAGAGAAAAAAAATCACGAAATTTTCACAGATTTTTTTTGGGGGTTAATTCTCTGAACTTTTGTCCGGCAAGAATTTTGAAGAAAAAAAATGGCGTCATCGCTCAGCTGGTAGAGAGTCGTAGCACGGTCTGTCCGCAAACCCGTTCAAATGCAGTGCACGTGCGAGGGGGCATGGGGCAGAGAAATCCCTTTGATGCCTTATCTCCATCCACGTGCTGAGCAAAAACAAACAGTGACCGTCGGCCCGTTAATTTGGGAAGATAACCAAACCATTTAACGCTGCGTTACGTCTTCGCTCGAAGGCGTCGGCTGGTGTTTTTCCTTAAGTCACTTTGATTGGAGACCGTTGTTGATTGCCTTACGAACAAACACAACGTGTAAAATTTAGCCCACAGCAAAATGGATTCATTTTGGGTGAAGGAACGTGAAAAAGGAGTTAGTTTACATTTTTGGACTAGTGTCTGAAGCCGTTTGAACATAATTTTCGGGTCCCTTGATTAAGTGATTGTTGAACGAACCGGAAATCTAATTAGGGGCCGTTTCATTGTCATCGGTGTTGAAATATACTGAATTTACTAAACTGCTTGATGAAGAAAAAAGACAAAAAAAAACTATGAAATTCGCGTCATAAGGCCTATTTATGTAATTTAACTAGCAGTTTTTATTTGTTTCTATATATCAGCGGCTGTAAATAAGGGCAGTGGACGATATTTCTGCGTGTCGGAGAACACGTGAGATTGGGGTGTGAAAAACCAAAATATCAAGTTCAATAGCTGGTTAATGATAATAGATATATTGAAAATTTAAATTATGAAGCTTCAAATGGTTTTACGTTTCTAAGCTCACTTATGTACTGGCTTTAGTATGAGGATCACAAAAATAGACAGAAATTGTGTAGTGTGTTTTCAGAAGAGATATTTTCAATTATAATATATATAAAAATATGGTATTGCATAACAGTAGGTCCAGCACATTCCAAGAAGCACCTTGTTTCCATACAGTACGAACACGTTCCAAGTTTTGCCTTCTCGTAAACTCAACGTGAGCATGGCATTCGTCGAATTCCAGCCTGACAGGTCTATATGACCCATAACCGGAGAACAGCCAACAAACATGGAACGCTGCATAAACACGTGTGCGTCGAAACCGTAGCCTCTGTAATAGGTAGAAACGAATCTCGGTGTAGGGATGCGGTGCACCCCCCCCCCAATCCATTTCAGAGGAACATTGGCAGTGCACCGCCATCCACTTCTAAGAGAAAGGACGGTAGAAGATAGACGGTGAAACTTAAACGGATCTGGGGATATTGTAACCCCCCTCCACCCCCCCCCCCCCC